TTGAACCCAAAGGTTTCACCAACTCTGAGTTTCAATGGCTGTCGTATTGGAAGCAGTAATGACCTACAACCTTTTTATCTAAACAGAAAGAAATTATTTTCATTACAAGATACTTCTTCTGTTACGATGCATTACAAACAAATGGCTCCTGAAAGCGCCTTCTGTAATCTGGGCACTGACCTGCTGCGCTCACAAGTCATGGAACAGAAACCAGCATCACGCAAATGCGCACCCAGGACTTAATGGCATTCACAGATGACATCACGGCTAAATTAGTCAGGGAGAACAAAAAGCTCTCCCTTTACACTGTGGTAAGGGAATGGGTTGCAAAGCCACCTGGATTGTATCGTAAGACTTTTAACTAGCTGGATGCCATCTTATGTTACTGATTTAGTTACGTGAATATTTAAAAATAAAACCTGTTTTATTATATTTTACTATTTATAAGTATTTCTTTCACTGTTAATGAGCTGCTCTCACTTTTCTGTGATCATTTCATGGATGCATATTGTCACAATTTCATTGTACTCATGAAGTGAGTGGATTTCATTGATACTAATCCTGATTTTACTGGGCAGAATAGATGCTTTGGTGGGGGTTTTTTTGTTTTATTTCGTTATTACACTGCCAATATCCTTCCCAGTGCCTGAGGAACGGAAGTAAAAAGCACGAAGTTTTTAGAGAGCCTTTCCAGTGACTGCAGTTAGCCTTCCTTTTCTTCCACATTCTTGCAGAACATGTTATGCTGTAAAGTTTCAAAGAGGATTACACTCAAAAGGGTGAGCAAGCCACTGCTTTCAATTTCTTAAATTCTCCTTTGCCAGAACTGTTATTGCAACATACAGGGAAGCTGAGCATTTTTGTTTGTGCAGATTTTTAACCGAACAGATTTCCTAAAGCAGAACATTGCCTTTGAGGGGAGGCAGGGAGCATGGTCCCCCTTTATTACTATTAGAAATATATCATCCTTCCATCACTCAGACACAGAAAGCAGGTAAAAGCATTTTTAAAGAAGTGGCACAGAGTTAAGAAGGAAAAGGTTTAGGAAATAATGAATTGTTTGCACTACAAAGCCAGGGCCAGTAACTAATCTCACTGCTGAGGTTAATTTTGCTTACAGGGAGGGAAAAAAAGGAATATTCTTCCCTATTCCAGTCATCCTCTTCCTTGTTTTGATTATTGTTTGTCACTTGCCAAGACATATTCTACTGGGGGTACTTTTATAGTTACACTCTATACTGGTTGTGCCTGCTCTGATTGCTGCCAGAATCTTCAACCAGTACACTTCAAAGCATGCAGCAGGCTGACAGAAACGACTTCAGATATTATCTGGCTCTCTACAGCGTCCTTGGTGCCCCTTCATCCCTTCTCTTATCTGGCTGTGACTGCTCATCTAAGGCTACGACTCCTTTAGTTCTGTCTGGGATTTCTCTCCTTCACACTGTTCTGGGTCTGGCTGCTCCCTTTGAGATGCAGCTGTCTTGTTTCTCCATTTTATTACAGCCGGTTGTTCCTTGCTGATTGTTGCTCCTAGTGTTATTCTTGCTGCACTCTCTCCTCCTCTGTTGGTGCAGCTCTCCAGGGCTCTGATTCCTGCTTATTTCTGGTGTGGAAAGGCTGTCACGCTTTTTGCTTTGATTTAACAATTCTCAGATCCACTCTTGTGTTCAACAGGCTATATTTCCTACTGCACTTGGGATATAACCACTTTTCCCATCATCGTGGGAGGACACTATCTCGCTTCCAGCTGCACTAGGAAGACACATCCACGCTCTGATGTAACTTGAGAGCCTTGAATCATCTACCAGTACTGTTTATTAATGAACTATCACGACTTCTCATTTTTCTCTACATATTTGTGGCCCTAGTGGAGGATAACACGCTCCTATCTGAAGAATGACTAGTATGATGCTTTTGAAAGAGGCAAACATTACCCTCAACAGCTTAAGTGAAAAAACATTGTGTGCTGCAGGGCTGTAGTGTCTGTTTCACTATGCTTGTGGGATTACCTGAATACCATTCTTCAGGGGTTTATGTCATGAGACTTCTTAACATGTGCAATCAACGAGGTCAAAAAAGTGGAAATGAAGAATATATTCACCTCTGAGGCATTTAAATAGCACAGTTTCAGTGGTCATCTCTGAAGTGTATAGAAAGAGAAAAAGGCATGTCTTTAAAATGACAGCTGAGTGTCATGCAAAGACGGGCACTTAAATGGTGTCTAACTGATTTATGGCATATTGATGACAGTAAAGACAATCAAATGACAATGACATCCTATGACTCGTTTCACTGAACAAAAATTAGATGGGAAAAAGTTTCATCATTTCAATATCATGCAGAAAATCGTGAAGAGAGAAAAGAGATCACATGGACAATCCAAGGTCCCACGGAGCACAAGGTGGACATTTAAAAAAAAATTAAAAGAGAATGAGAAAAAACCCATATTAAAATGTAAATACTGCACAAGTGCTAGACTGTTTAAAAATGAACATTTTGTTTAAGACAGTAGAAAAGTCCTCACTAATGTTCCTGATCCAAAGTTTACTACAGTCAACAGAAAAAAATTCCGAGAACTTAATACTTGGCAGCAATTTTAAAAAATTGTCAGCAAACAACCAAAAAGCCATCCCAGAAACACCAGCAACATCCCTCCAGCAGGGCTCGTTGTGTAAGGAGGGCTTTGAGGCACCTGAAAATATCTGAGCACGCGCCTGACCAGGTAAAAGCCTTCAGTATAACTTTACAGTTTGGATTTTATTGACATACCATTCATCACAGTATTTATATTGGCAGACACTAGAAAGCTAGAAGGATAGACAAATGTTCTAGCTAGCTAATAAAAGAGCTTGTTTGCCTAGTTGATTTTAAGTGCAAGCTATGCATGCATGCATACAAGGTTACATAGGAATGAAAGAATTTAAGATCCACACCTGTTAAATTTGCTCTAATTTATCCTCAGAAGGAAACAGTGTCAGGTGTTTGGAGAAAGCTACAGAAACAGTGAAAAGAGCAGCTACGAAGCTAGTCGGGAAAGTTTCTTCCTATTATATATTGTTTGTAGCTAAAACAAAAGGATGAATGGTTACAGAGAATAGCAGACAAATTATCAGACAGGAAAACAAAGACTTCATGGGTGAAAGAGTGGCTCTTTTAATCTCCTCATCTACGAAGATGTGTAAGTAAATTCTTCCATTGCCATTCCTCAAGGTGGTTTGCTAGATGTGGTAACCGGGTTCAAAATTTACAGGATCAGGCCCTGCTATGAACACATTCTGTATCACCCAGGGTTCGGGAGAGTTGGCCATCAGAGAAGCTGAGTGGAGACACTGCCATATCCACTGGGCATGGTCACTGTTACACTGAAAAAGGAACCTTTAGATGGACAGATACAAGGTAAAGGTTGTACTCTGATCTGCACAGAAAACGGTGATCCTATGAGCCTGCATAAAATAGCTAACAGTATACAGATGTGTCCTACTGTCCTATTTGTCATTTCAATGTAAATGAAAATTACTTAATGTTTGCAAAGTGTTCATAAGATGAAAAGATAAGTGTCAAGTATTACAATTTACTGTGTGATATTACTATTATAACATTAATTACAAAAAAATAATTAGCTTGAAATATTAAGATACTAATGTGAGATAAGCCTCTGAACCTACCAAGGTTCAGCTATCACCAGCAAACATATGACTGAAACATTTAAACAATGAGAAGACTTCACTATGCTAAAAGCTGCTGGCTATTATAGCTTAATTGACCAAGAGTAATGTTTTCAAAGCCAGTTAAGGGATTTTTGAAAATGTTACTTGGGTTCTTGAGCAACTCCAGCATTTTAAAACATTTTCCTAAGTATTTTGTGTTTTCATATTACATCCTATACCTATTACACGGACATATACACACACACTCTCATTTGCCCATCCCTAAAGGCACAGGATCCTTTCATGGAAGAGGATCAAGTTGAAGTTATTGCTGACTGGGAGTAACTGATGACTGTAAGAGAGGATATACCGCTTTTTTAGCCCAGAATGAGCACTGGATAAACTGGAGGCTCAGTAGACAAGTCAGTGCTATGCTGCTGCTGTCTTCTTACAGTCTGGTGTTAGGCAGCTAATGATGCAGAAGAAAAGATTATCAAATGCAAAGGTGATAGTCAAAAGACTCTTGTAACCGAATCATCAGCAGAGAGCTCCAGTACAACCTTCATAGCGGAAGGCTGCAGGCAGCAGCCTCTGCATCACACATCAAGCACATTTGGTCATGATATTAAGGCACAGTATTACATATCATAGCATGTAGCAGAGAATAATCATGTGGTATGATGGAAACCACCACCTTTTGGGACATATGCTAACAGCAAGCCCAGTCATACAATGGAGAAGGTGGAAGTGTGCAGCCCTCTCACTCCTGCACAGAAGCTGTTCAGTCCCAAAGCTGGCCAAAAGGCTTTCTATTCACTGAAATACAATTTGAAATTGCCTGAATTTAATACATATTCCTTCACCACCCCAGAAGGCAGTTCCTCCACTCCCACTGTTCAGCAATGACTTCAGAGTTTTCACTAGTTGACAGAAAAATTCTCATGCATAGAAAAAACAGAAAAAACTTTACATTTAACTATAGCACTTGACAAGTTTTCTAGAAAGTTTCAATAGGACAAGGACTACATATCCTTCTGCTTTTTAAAGCATCTAACACAATTCAGACACTGCCACAAAATAAATAGTAATAAAAAAACCCCAAATCTTCTTGCTGAATTCTGACAGCCTCCCACGTTTATTTATAACACTTAATAGCACTGGATGTGTTGAATGTAATTGGTTAAAATCACTGTAGTATATTCCAAATACATTCCACACAAATTAAAGTTTCCCAACTAGTAGCCACTGTAGTGTATGTATTTTTACAAGTATTTATTTTACAGACGGAACATGATCTTCTAATAGCTACTGACATATCTATATATAGAGATAGATAGGTTTAATTAGTCTCACCTTTTTATAGGCAATCCAGTCAAACACCCTGTCAATGTCTGTGGCTTGCTGCACCTCCTGGGATACTGGATGTGAACTGGCCAAACCATCCAGCAACATCACTTCATGTAGGACATCTGTCAGAAATCTCTGCTTTTCCTGAAATACAGCATACGCGGTAGTATCACAGACAAATACACATTTACAACAATACAGAAATGATGCACAGTTATCAGAGGCAGTTGACTAATATGACAGTTGACTAAAATCAGACCTTCTGGTTTGAATGTAAGCCACCATGACCTCCTACAATCTTGAACAGGTATATGGAGTAGACGCTGACTTGAGATCTTTTGCTGCAATGAAACTTGGCTGAAATTAAATTAAGGACTATTAAATGAATCAAAATGTATCTGTAGGTGCAGACTGCAATTCTGATTATGACTATTCATTCACAGTTACGAGGGGTGGGGAGAGAGGCGAAATGGCGTAGTCTTCAATCACAAAAATATATGGATGCTACAAGTCGTCGAGCTCATTGCATAGGCAGGTATGAAAACTTTTGACAGAGGTGGGTAAATCCAATTATTACTGCTTTATTTAGTGAAGTTTAAGTCACCTGGCTGTTAGTTCCAAGTTCACACAGGAGGTCGATGTGGGACAGGACAATGAACAGAACCCACAGCAGTGTCACAGCAGATGCCTGCCTTGTCTTTCATAATTCCGGTATAGAAATCCTTTCTCCTCAAGAGCTTGCATGCTCTACAAACTTTGTAACTTCCATCTGAAGGAAACCATTATTATCTCTCTTTATGAGTGGGACAATAGGTGCATGTAGAAGTTAAATGACAGTCAACGTCACAGCTGTATCAGAGACAGGTGCAAACCCAAACAACATCCAACATACTAATTTGTTTCTATACCTTCTATAAATATGGATTGCAGACGTATGTCAAAACTGCTGCATATTTACTCTGGCAGCAACATTAATTAAGTGTTCATGTATACTCTATGAACTGTGCTGCACTCACTTTTACAGTGCAACTAGATGGGACTTCTTCAGCTGAGAAGTGACATGCCTTAAAAACTCCCCATATTGCATTCATATAGATGTCTCTAATCCAAAAGACTGTGTCAGGAAGGAAGAGCTTCATTTACTTGTTTTTTCAAGTCACAAATAAATGCAAAGGGTTAATTAAAAATTATGGAAGGTTTAAATAAGCTTTTTTTTCACCCTGAAATGACATATCTCAAACTTTATCTAAATTACAACAGTTCCTGAATTAATGTCAACCTAGTGCCATAATATAAAGAAACTCTAGGGAATGCTGCATTTTTTTCAAAAGCCACCTTGATGTCCACATATAAAATAACCACACAATTACATAATAAATTCTATGTTTAATTTCTTGGGTGGCAAGGTTTTGTTATCAATGTGTTAATTTATAAGACAGCCAAAAAGCATTTCAAGTGCTGATCCATCTGGAAATAAACCTTTATGTTGAAATTCATTAGAGCACAAGAAATGTACCTTGAGCTGATTGTATATTCAGGCAATTAAAAACACGGGATGCAGGAAAGCCAATTACCCAACACACTCTTAGTGTTCTCAGCTGGCTGCATGAGGTAAGGTTTGTGAAGGGAAAAGTAATGTCTTGTTCATATTATTGTTCATTTCCAAATTTTCTCAGGCATATACAGTTAGTAACTGCC